GGCTGACCTGGAGGCTGACCAGTCACACAAGGGTTGTGGGAGCTTTACCACTAAAAAGGGAGACCTGCTCATTAAAATTGGGGGGTCTTCAAACAAGAAGTTGTTCACCAAAGAGGTGACAAAGGTGATCGGCGATCTGGGTTGCAGATGGCGGACCGGCGAACTACATTGGAAATCCGCGATGTGGATGCCCTTACAGAAAAAGATGTCGTACTGTGTGCCCTGGAGAAAATTTCTACGGTACCAGCAGGAAGTAGGAAGGTAGGAGTGCGGAGAAGCTGGCCATAAGGCAGCAGATTGTAAGAAGAGCCCATGCTGCTTCTTATGCCAGGAAAAGTTCGGCGAGAAGAAAAATATCCAGCATGTCGCCGGATCAGGAGGTTGCAAGGTCTTCAGAACTGCCCTCGAGGAAGCAAAGAAGACTTTGTCAAGGACAAGGAGGAAATAATGCCAGAACAAGAGCGGCAAGAGACGGAAGACGATGTTGACCGGAGGAGTCCAGTGCTCAGCTGTGTGTGGGTGTGGGGGGGGAGGAAATCATTTAGTTTTCCTCCCACCCACGTTCCGACAAAGCTAGAGCGGATTATGGCCCAGTTAAGGAGTAGGACAAGGGGACCACCATTTTCGAAGTTGAAGGCCTGACGGTAGTTCCGCAGGTGGATCAAGTGTCCCAAATTAAGACGGGAGTGGTTTTTAGTGGGTAGACCAGAACAAGAGCGGTCACCCCCACATAACCTGGAATTCATTACCCAGGTATCTGAATTCGCAGATTTTCCACTTCCGACTACAAAAAAATAATAATAATAATTCCGTGCCCGGTTGGAACTTTTGTTCTAATTTTTTTTTTTTTGCTTAGGGAATTTTGGGAAATCTGCCTACAGATACCTTGGACTCAGCACTCCAAGGTTATGTGGGGTTGGTGTGATAAAACAAAAGGAAATAAAAAAATAGAAAAATAAATATATAAAATAGTAAATTTAATAAACTGGCGACCTACTGCCAGCCCGACCCACTAAAACCCGTAACCCTTCTTCTGGAGCCCTTTACCCTCCCTCGGAACTGTCGTAAGACTTTAGCCTTCGAGGGTGGCGCTCCAACTCTGCCGCTAATGCGACCTTCTTCTTCTCTCTGCGGTTTTCCTGCGTCCGTAGTTAAAAAAATGATTAAAACTATTTTATAGTCTAAGCGGAATTTACAGCACAACAATAATAAAAAAATCTGTCCGCGCAAGCGCAGACACATTCTCATCCGCGCTTCGCGCGGGGGCTCGCTTCGCTCGCAAGTTTCAGCGCGCCTCGGGACGCGCGAATATTGATCGTCGCGCTTCGCGCGCAAATTGCTCGCTTCGCTCGCAGTGGTCTGCAACTGTTGTGCATTATTTGTGTTCTTGTTATTATTTCCTATTATATGTTTAATAAAACATTTTTTCTTAAAGTTACTACGACTTTAAGGATTACATTCTCATCACATGTTTTTCTTTGATGATGACTGCGAGATTAAGTGGATTAAAATGTATGTTTTTGGTAGAGATGTGCGAAAAGCTCGAAATGTCGATCCGAGCCAAGCCGAAATTTTTTCGAGCCGAGCCAAGCCGGCTCGATGTATCAAGTACTCGACATTTTCGAGTACTTGAGTGACTTCAAGTACTCGAAAAATTCGAGTACTCATGTAAATTCGAGGACTTGATTAAATTTGAGCACTAGAGTGAATTCAAGTATCCCTTCCCTGTCACGCAATTTAATGCTATTTCACATGCAAAAATACAGTAGAGTATATAGTAGAGACCCCCCCTGCCCCCAAAAACGTGACATCATTTGTGAACGCTCCCTAAGCTGACTGACCCAAAAACTTAAAAAAAAAAAAAAAAAGTAGTTTCTGACGAAAATAGCTAGTTTACGAACTTAGCCTTCATTTTTGCACCAACTTTAAGTGCGTTAAATTTAAAAACGATCGGATAAGTTTTTCAAAAGTTATCATGGGAACAACATTTTGTGTCTACAGACAGACATACAGACAGACACCATCGCCAAACCATGTTTTTTTGGGTTCAGGGGACCCCCAAACGTAAAGATTTCATACAATTAGCAAAAGTCAAAATTTGCATAAAACTAATACCTTCTCATATGATGAGAATGTAATAAAAATTACTTTTTTTGAAAATAACTCGAAAAGTATAGGGTTTGGCGAAATGGTGTCTACAGCAAAGTTGTAGCTGAGAATGAGACGAGAAAAAAAGTCTCTAGTAGCAAGTTTCCATATGGAATAGATTCGGAGATAATTGAGTCAGAATATCGATTTTTTGCCAAAAAAGTAATAATATATATATATATATATCCTCGTTCTTTAAAGACATGATTGACTCGGGCGAAACGGGTGCTGATTAATTCTGGATGGATTCTCTCTCTCGATCCTGATTCGAACCTTCACGTGTGAACTCCACCAAATCAATTAATTTGTTAATCGCCTTCATACGATTCTGAGTTGTTCCACTATTTCGACCCACGCTGCCAAGTCAATCTCTCCCGCCCATTTTACAACAACGCGCCACACTAAATAAAATGTACAAAATTGATAATTGAAAAATTTAAATAAAATAAAATTACAAAACGAACAAAATTAACAATTAAGAAATCAAAAGAAATCCACAAAATTTAACAAACAAAATACCGAGGCGCAGGAATTCATCCCATAAGACATTTGATCACTTGGCCATAGGATAGAAAGGCATTTGATAGAATGGTCATTTGATCGATAATAAGTCATTTGATAGAAAAGTCATTTTATAGAAGAGTAATTTGATAGAATGGACATTAGATAGAAAAGTCACTAGATAGAAAGGTCAATTGATAGAAAGATCAGTTGATAGAAAAGTCATTTGATAGAATGGTTATTTGATAGAAAATTCATTAGATCGAAAAGTCATTTTATAGAAAGGTCAATTGATAGAATGGTCATTTGATAGAAATATCAGTTGATAGAAAAGTCAATTGATAGAAAAGTCATTTGGTAGAAAGGTCAGTAGATAGAAAAGGTATTAGAAAGAATGGTTTTTTTTATAGATAAGTCATTTGTTCGAAAAGTTATTTGATAGAAAAGTAATTTGGTAGAAAGGTCAATTGATAGAAAAGTCATTAGATCGAAAAGTCATTAGATCGAAAAGTCAATTGATAGAAAAGTTAATTCTTAGAAGAGTCATTTGATAGAAAAGTCATTTGTTCGAAAAGTTATTTGATAGAAAAATCATTTGATAGAATGGTCATTTGATAGAAAGATCAGTTGATAGAAAAGTCATTTGATAGAAAAGTCATTTGATCGAAAAGTTATTAGATAGAAATGTCACTAGATAGAATTTTTTTGTTGTACAAGTTTCCTTTCCTATGTTATACTCAATCATAGTCTCTATTTACCATTTGTTCTGAGTGTTTAGAAGGTTCAATGTTTACTCAACAGGTGGAACCACATGTTAGTTGGGAAGATATATATGAGGTATTTTCTATTTCAAAACCAAAAAGTACTCTGTTAAACAACTTTAAGTGCTTGAAAAATTTCAAATAATTATTTCTCCTAATTAAATAATATAGTATTTAATTATAATAAAAATTAATTTAATCATTTGTTTTCATTAAGTAAATATTTATTTGATAATAAAAAAATGTGTGTTTTTTTTAAATAGAAACTCATGTATAAAAAATTTTTTGGAATTCTGTCTCATTAAAACGAGTTCGACAAATTGGACATATCCGGTATTTTTTTTCATTATAGTAATATTCCCAACAATTATCACAAAGTGATACATGACCACATCTATTTAAGCAATAAGTTGGTAAGGCAGATTTACAGGTGCAGCATCGCGGGATGAAATCTAGATTTCAATTCCAATTTCAATTTCAATTTAATTATTTTTCCATAGGAATTAAGATTTTAAAAAGTTTCCAAACCTTTTAAAATTTAATAAATTATGAAAACATTGTTGTACTGTCACTTTTTCAAAATTATTTTCGTCATTTCAGTTCAATTATTGTAACTTATAAAAAATTCAATTATTATTGTTTAAAACTTTAACAGAAATTAATTTTTAATTAAAAATTCTAGAAGAATTCAATTATTTGTATACAAAAATAAACATAAATTTATTAAATACCCAAACAGTATATATGTAATATTACCTTAAAATGAAGGCAACACAGTAAATCGTTAGGTATTAAAATAACACCAAAAAGGATTAAAATAATCGAATTTAGTGTTATTTTAATCCATTTTGGTGTTATTTTAACACCTAACGATTTACCGTGAATATTTCTTTAGATTCCCCTGGAGTATTTCAAATATCTAATCTAATATTGCCTTTAATTAAAGGTCATATAACATGCTCCTTGGGTAATTGAATGTTTATTAGAATTTTATTCATGTAAAAAATTTTATAAATAAATTTTTTTATTATTGAATTCCTTGAGGAACAATTTATTAAAATAGTTCATGTATTAAAAATCATTGTATGTATTAAAAAACATTTTTTGAAAATAATTGAAATTTGCCATGAATTTTATCCCAATTTTTTAAAATAACTAAAATTTTCTTTTTAAATCTGAATCAGTGAAATTCCACTGAAAATCAGTCAAATTTCACTGATTTAGTTTTAGAGAGTTTGCGAAGAATTTTATTTACAATAAAGACCACATTATGCGGACTTATGGATACAGCAACGTTTATTGTTAAAAAATTCAAAGCTTCTGGTATTAAATTGTTATAAACTTTATCATTAAAAACAAAAAAAATATTTAAAATTTGCCCGGATAATTGAAAATCCGGATAATGGGGTCTCTAATTGTAATTATGAAAATAATTTAATTCTTTCGAAGAATAGCGTTAATTCACAAGAAGGTCTTACACATTTTGGGACCATTTTGTTATATTTTAGCTGCACACTGAAGGGGTTAATAAATTATAATTATAAATAAAAAATTCTTTCTTTACAATATAATTATATTTTATATATTTAGTTATAAAAATAGTTTCTAAAAAGTATCAAATTAACAACGCCGTTTCCGTTCTCACGAAAACTGCATGCAATCAGAAAAGTCAGCATAATGCAAAGTCCAATGGGCCTCAAGAACATCCCTACTTCTAATTCTAAAAATCCTTAGTTGACAAATTTACCCCACTTTGGCATTAGGACAAGGAGTAGAGGCTTGTCGCAATATTTCCATCGCTGCTGTACAATTTTCCTCTTCAAGCGATCAACACCTGTCCTGGCTGCGGCCTGACAGATCTGTTGATCGCAAGAAAGTAGGAAATGCCGCGACTAAGCCCGTCTGCGCGTCGGACCCCCGCGTATAACATATCAAGTACAACGCGAAAGGCAGACGAAAAATTTAATAGAATCTTTTAACCGACGGAGTCCAGTGAGAGCTGTTTTGAGTGAGATTCCAATTAATTAAATATTTAACAATTGTGAATCTTGTTTCTTAACCCGGCCAGTCCGTACGTGTAGTACCTGCGCCGTCTCAATGCAGTGGCCCCACATAATTCGCGAGTTCGCGTAAATAAAAATTGGTCGCATAGACGACTTAATTTTCGACTTTCAACTTGTGTTTTGCCCGATGGAGGATCCCTGTTTCTCGACTGGCCAGTCCGTACGCGCAGTACCTGCGCCGTATAAGAGAAATTATGCCCTGTCGGTAGGATTAAGGATTTTAGCGGTAAGTCTGTATCGTTTCAATAATTTAATGTTACTTTCAACTTTAATTCTCTTTCAAACATGTGCAAGTTTGTAAATTTCTTAATATCTTGTTAAAATAAAATTTTAATGTGAATGCCAAATCTGATTTTATTTATTTTAAAACTCCTGAAATAAATAAAGTAAATTGAAATAATTATTTATCAGAGTTAAAACAAAGCTATTCCGGTAACTTTTAAAATTGGAAAAACGATCCCGCATAATTAAACAAGGTCTTTTAAACTTTGGCAGCTTGGTGCCTCCCCAAACCACAGAACTACGAGCCATCTCAAAAGCTCGGTATTTTTAAATAAATAAATATTTCAGGTTTGTAACAAACACAAAAAATATAAAAACAAAAATATGTCAAAACATAAAAAAAATAAACAAATAGGTGCCGACTAAGGACCACCTGTTTGGTGCCGACTCAGGACAATCACCAATGTATACAAATTTCACATCATTACACAAACAACAAAATTTTAATTGAAAAATTGACATAACCCATCAGTTACAACATTAAATGAAGAAACCAGAACAATCATTTATTTGAAATTTCCAAAATATTTACTTATCTGCAGCTACTTCCGTGTAAAGGAGGAAAATGATATTCAGTTTGTGGAAAAAAATAAAAACGTGCTCACGATGAGTAGATTAAACAAGAATAGAAATTTTGTGCATAAATTATGTCCGTGTCTATTAACATGTAAAATCACAAAATTTTCGAATCGACATGTGAACCATCTTTGCAAAAAAGGGGGGTGCCGACTTTACCCACAGTGCCGACATAAGACCACATTCCCCTAATATTCCCAACAATTATCACAAAGTGATACATGACCACATGTATTTAAGCAATAAGTTGGTAAGGCAGATTTCCAGGTGCAGCATCGCGGGATGAAATCTATAAAGAAAAAAAGGTAAATAATTACTATTAATTATTTTTCCATAGGAATTAAGATTTTAAAAAATTTCCAATTCAAACCTTTTAAAATTTAATAAATTATGAAAACATTGTTGTACTGTAACTTTTTCAAAATTATTTTCGTCATTTCAGTTCAATTATTGTAACTTATAAAAAATTCAATTATTATTGTTTAAAACTTTAACAGAAATTAATTTTTAATTAAAAATTCTAGAAGAATTCAATTATTTGTATACAAAAATAAACATAAATTTATTAAATATCCAAACAGTATATATGTAATATTACCTTAAAATGAAGGCAACACAGTAAATCGTTAGGTATTAAAATAACACCAAAAAGGATTAAAATAATCGAATTTAGTGTTATTTTAATCCATTTTGGTGTTATTTTAACACCTAACGATTTACCGTGAATATTTCTTTAGATTCCCCTGAAGTATTCCAAATATCTAATCTAATATTGCCTTTAATTAAAGGTCATATAACATGCTCCTTGGGTAATTGAATGTTTATTAAAATTTTATTCTTGTAAAAAATTTTATAAATAAATTTTTTTATTATTGAATTCCTTGAGGAAAAATTTATTAAAATAGTTCATGTATTAAAAATCATTGTATGTATTAAAAAACATTTTTTGAAAATAATTGAAATTTGCCATGAATTTTATCCCAATTTAAAAAAAAAAACTAAAATTTTCTTTTAAAATCTGAATCAGTGAAATTCCACTGAAAATCAGTCAAATTTCACTGATTTAGTTTTAGAGAGTTTGCGAAGAATTTTATTTACAATAAAGACCACATTATGCGGACTTATGGATACAGCAACGTTTATTGTTAAAAAATTCAAAGCTTCTGGTATTAAATTGTTATAAACTTTATCATTAAAAACAAAAAAATATTTAAAATTTGCCCAGATAATTGAAAATTTGGATAATGGGGTCTCTAATTGTAATTATGAAAATAATTTAATTCTTTCGAAGAATAGCGTTAATTTTTTTTAAATAATATGAAATATTACGCCCGCCAGCGCGCGAAATGTGGCATTCAATTTATTGTTATTGTTCAAATTACAAAATTTTTTACTTTCAAATATGAATTTTTGAATAATTTTATAATCAAAAATTTGTAAAATTCACTTATTAAGTAGATAATTAATTTGTTTATATTTATAATATTTAAAATATTTTCAAAAATTTTAATATGATTCTTTGTAAGAATTGGATTATTTTTTTTATAAATAATAAGATTCTTTGAAAGAATGCAATTATGTTTATAAATCTCTTATTATATTAAGTTGAAGAACGACCGACCGACCGACCGACCGACCGACCGACCGACCGACCCTAGCCGTATATATATGTATATCTTTTAAAAATAATATTAACACAAATGTATACATATTCACAATGTCACGCATGCGCAGTAGTGTTCTGTCAATGTTACGCATGCGCAGTAGTGTTCTGTCAATGTTACGCATGCGCAGTAGTGTTCTGTCAATGTTACGCATGCGCAGTAGTGTTCTGTCAATGTTACGCATGCGCAGTAGTGTTCTATCACTGTTACGCATGCGCAGTAGTGTTCTATCACTGTTACGCATGCGCAGTAGTGTTCTGTCAATATTACACATGCGCAGTAGTGTTTTATCACTTTTACGCATGCGCAGTAGTGTTCTGACAATATTACACATGCGCAGTAGTGTTCTATTAGTGCCACGCATGCGCAGTAGTGTTCTGTCAATATTACACATGCGCAGTAGTGTTCTGTCAATATTAGGCATGCGCAGTAGTGTTCTGTCAATATTACGCATGCGCAGTAGTGTTCTGTCAATATTACGCATGCGCAGTAGTGTTCTTTAAATATCAGGCATGCGCAGTAGTTTTCTATGAATATCAGGCATGCGCAGTAGTGTTCTATCAATGTCAGGCATGCGCACTATTGTTCTATGAATGTCAGGCATGCGCAGTAGTGTTCTATCAATGTGAGGAATGCGCAGTAGTGTTCTATGAATATCAGGCATGCGCAGTAGTGTTCTATGAATATCAAGCATGCGCGCATAACACCCACACATGTATACTCACACATATACACTAATCACATGTACATGTATACTCACACATGTTCATAAATTACATACACATGTATACTGCTCATATGCAGATATAAACTCCTACATATACACAAATCACATATATGTATAGATTTAATAAACGATTGATAATATAAATTGTTGAATTTTTTAAGGTTCGTTGATGCACGTAGTGTCTGTTGAAATTTTTTTAAATATACGTAAATACCTCACTTGCTAATGCTGCGCTGTCTGTGTTGTAATGGAACTTATTTATTTACTTGTGTATTTACTTATTTATTTCAGGGTTGCCACAAGACATCGATTTTAAAATTCCATGACTTTTCCAGGTTTTCCAGACCATTTCTTAAAAAATTCCAAACCAGAAATAAAATTGTTTTGGTATGTTTTTAGCTAATTACGACAAAAAGTATAAAATCCTTTAAGTAAATTGTTAACAAAATAAGTTATTAATTTTTAATTTCATTATTAACAAAAAATTAAGTTAAAATTTGTAAGGTTATTTGAGATACTCTCCGAAGAAAGATGAGGAGCAAATCTTTTTAAATTTAAAAATTTAGTTAAGTTTAGAATTTTTCACAATTATTAAACCAGTATTTTAAAAAGCATTTTAATAACATTTTATGAAACTGAAGTTACCTACGTTTATTCAATGACAATTTTTTCTTTGCTAATTATTTATTTTAATGTTAGAAGCCTTTTAAAAAATTTTAAAAGATCGAAGTCGGGGAAATTATTAATTTTGATTTTTTACACAGATTTTCGAAAAATCCATATATTATTTAAACAAAATTATTATTTCCTCACCTCATAAGCAATTTTTTCTTTTACAAATTATTTATTTTAATGTGACAAGTCATTTAAAAAAATTGTAAGAGGATCTAAGGAAGGCAAGGAAATTAGTGATTTTTAAATATTTTTTCGTAGATTTTCCAAATATCCCGAAATTTTAACTAAATTATTATTTCCTTGCTTCAGAAGCAATTTTTTTCGATTGCAATTTTTTAAAGGGCTTCTTACATTAAAAAACAATTAGCAAAAGAAAAAATTTTCATTGCATAAAAGTTGGTAGCTTCAGTTTCATAACATTTTGGGGTTTCTAAAATGTATTAATTTAAAAATTATTTAAAGGAAGATAGAGACCAAAAGAAACTAAAATTTAGAAATGCCATATTGATTTCAATTGTAAGCACTAAATTTAAAATCAAAAAGTTGTATGTCAACTTGAAAACTTGAAATTTTTACGACTCAAATACAAAAAATTGAGCTTTTAGTATCAGGCTTCATAAAATTCCCTGACAATTCCAGATTTTTCAGGTTTTCCATGACTGAAAAAAAATTCCATGACAATTCCGGGTTTCCCAGGTTTTCCAGGTCCGTGGCAACCCTGTATTTGTTTGGCAGACATCAACAATAATTTTTTAAATGGATAATCAGTGAAAAATGACTTATATTTCTGTAAGTTAGTGTTTCACTTCGATCCGCGAATTTCATTTTTTCGAGCGATTATTTGGTTATCGTCTTTGGTTTTCAAACGATCATCTTGTTTATTCTTTTGTTAATTGTCAAATCGTATCGTCTAATTTTCTAATTGTCATCGACCGAACTTCTCGACTGCTTCTCGACTTTCCCATAACTGACAACTAAAAATAATACAATAATAACCTATTTTTTGAAAAAAATCGATATCCAAAAACATTTAAATTCTTTTTTATTAATTCTATTAAAAACTAAAATTAAATTCATTTTAGTGAATTAAAATTATTATATCAAGTTAAAAATTAATTCAAGGTGTCTAGTGAATTATTATTTTTAAATTCCCGGACCAAAAATAAATATTCCCGGATTGATTTTTTAAAACAGCAATTACTATAAAATTTAAATATTAATACTTTTAATAAAGAAATTTTTAAGAAAATCAATTTTAAAAAGTCAATAGACATCTTTATTTAGAGAAATATATATAATATTACTTGTTATATATTACTTAATAAATCTATAACATTGTAATAGTTGGATCTAAATTTAAAATTAACCTACTTTTTTATTTTTCTATTAGTTGGGCTTTTTTGCGGAGTATTATTATTATTTTTAATTGTGTATTTAAATAATAAAAATTAAAAATAATTATTTTTAATTTTTATTATTAAAAAAAAAAAGTTGTCTGTTCATTGAACAAGACCTACATGTCTTATAGTATTTTGGCCCCCTGAATACGAATATGAAGTCAGAATTGCTCCATCACCCTCTGTTTTCTTTTAAATCGAAAAAACTACCCTTAAGTCTAAAATTCAAGAATTAAAGTAAAAAAAAATAAAAACACGGCTTTCTTCGGAGTAGAAGAATATATTTATGCGTTTTCTTCTTTCAACAACTCAAATAATGTCAAAATTGCTCCACCACCCCTACTTTTTTTTAAATCGAAGAAAGTACCCTTAAATCTAAAATTCAAGAACTAAAGTGAAAAAAAATGAAATAACCGGTTTTCTTCGGAGTAGAAGAATATATTTATGCGTTTTCTTCTTTCAACAACAAATAATGATAAATTAACTCTGATTCTGCTTTTTAGTTATGAGAACAAAAATAAAGGAACGTATGCTTTTGCTAAAAACTAATTGTTTTTATTGTTGTTAGTATACTCTGGGTTCATACTTAAAGGGGTAGTTTTTTTAATATAAATCAATAAGAGGGTGATGAAGCAATGCTGATGCTTTTTTAAAAAGTACATAAATATATTCTTCTACTTTGGAAAAAACCTGTTATATCATTTTTTACTATAATTCTTGAATTTTAGATTTAAGGGCAGGGGGTGATGGAGCAATTTCGTCATTATTTCTAAATTGTTGAAAGAAAAAAACGCATAAATATATTTTTCGACTTCGCAAAAAAACTGGTTATTTCATATTTTTTTACTTTAGTTCTTGAATTTTAGATTTAAGGGTAGTTTCTCCCATTTAAAAGAAACAGGGGTGGTGGAGCAATTTTGACATTATTTCTGAGAGGTTAAAGGAAGAAAACGCATAAATATATTCTTCTACTCCTAAGAAAACCGGTTATTTCATATTTTTTTACTTTAGTTCTTGAATTTTAGATTTAAGGGTAGTTTCTCCCATTTAAAAAAACAGGGGTGGTGGAGCAATTTTGACAATATTTCTGAGTGGTTGAAGGAAGAAAACGCATAAATATATTCTTCTACTTCGCAAAAAAGTGGTTATTTCATTCTTTGACTTTAGTTCTTGAATTTTAGATTTAAGGGTAGTTTCTCCTATTTAAAAAAACAGGGGTGGTGGAGCAATTTTGACATTATTTGAGTTGTTGAAAGAAGAAAACGCACAAATATATTCTTCTACTCCGAAGAAAGCCGTGTTTTTATTTTTTTTTACTTTAATTCTTGAATTTTAGACTTAAGGGTAGTTTTTTTGATTTAAAAAAAACAGAGGGTGCTGGAGCAATTCTGACTTCATATTCGTATTCAGGGGGCCAAAATACTATAAGACATGTAGGTCTTGTTCAATGAACAGACAACTTTTTTTTTGTGTGCCTGTGATTGTAATCATGCCTAAATTAAAAAAATTTAACATTTTTAGGTATAAAATAATTTTTTAATAAACATTAATAAAAATTTAGTTTTCTAAACATTATTCAAAAGTAGACGAAAGAACAAAGTTTTGTCCTCTTGATGTAATTTTTCTAAATTCAATAGATTAAGTTATAGATAATTAAAAATAAGTATACTTAGATTTCTTTGAATAATTTTTTAACACAATTAAATTTTTCAAATATGTCTACAATAGAAACCTTTTTGAATAGTTGAAATTGTGCAAAATTTAATTGAAAATAATTAATTTATTTCAAGTATTTTGTTACAATTTTTTGAAGAATTTTAATTGCAAATTTTGAAAATAATTGAATTACCAAAAATTAAAAAAAAAATTTTAAAGGTAAATTAGGATATAAGAATTATTTTAAGAAATTCAATTATTTTCGAAAAATAACATTATAATATTTTTAAAAACTAATATTATTAGAATTTTTTTATAGTAATTTTTTAAGATTTAATTATCTTCGAATAATGTAAATAAACATTTATGAAAATTTACTTCAATAAGACGAGCGAACATGACAGCTTGGTTATCAAAACAAAAAGAAAATCGTTTTTTGTTCGTTTCTCGGATCGTGTTGCTCGAATGAAACACTACTGTAAGTGTAATTTTCAACTGACTTTTAGTAAAATTATTTGTTTGACAGAAATTTACAATATTAATAAATAAATCACAATAAAATAATAATCAGTGAAGAATGACTGATATTTTAGTACTTTTCAACTGATTTTCAGTAAAATTCCACTGATTATGAATCCAAAGTCACTTTTTAAAAATACAAAATGGCGAATCCAGGATAGCGGACGAAAATGAAAGGTTTGGTAAGAGAATACGTAAAAATAACATTTCGTATAATGTACAATGACATTTTTTGTAAATGTCACTTCATAATTTTTGTCTTATTACACAATGATTTTAAATAAAATAATTTATATTTTTATAAATATTAATAATTTTTTACATTTTCTAACCACTATAAGGTTTTAATTTTATAAATGTTCAAATTCTGGTTTAGAAAGAAAAATTTATATTATTATACAACTATATTGTCTAGACTTGCAAAAACCCAAAGTCTAGACTTTGTTGTAACAATATTGTTACAATATATATTGTAACAATATTGGTGACGGTGACATGCGTAAGAATAGTGCAGTAAAAATTTCAAAAAAACACCCTGATCATTACCTACAGAAAATCCTATTAGTAAGAAAAGAATGGACGTATCTTCGCCCTTTTCTTACTAATTATTCAGAGAATCAGGCTAACATTCAAAATCTAACCTTCTAAGTTTAGTTATTTCAAAAAAATTATTTTATTGATGCAAATAAATATTTATTTTAATTAAAAACTATGCATTATTTAATCAAGTAATTTTTATAATTGATTTAAAGCAATATTTATTAAATTAAATTATTCTATTTAATTGACTTAAGTAATTTGTATTTGGTTCAAATAACTATTTAATAGATACCATAAATTAAAATATTTATGTCCAGTAAATATTTACTTAGTTCAAATAAAAAAAAAAAATAAGTAAAAACTAATAAGTTTAAATACAACCGAACGAGCGTTAGCGAGTGAGGTATATGTTGCTAGTAGTAAATTATTTTGCAAAAATTCAATTATTTTCTAAAATTTTAATAAAATTCTTCCTAAAAATTCAATTATTTTCAATACAATCTTTATTAAATTCCTCCAAAGAATCTAAATTTTTATTAAAATAATCACATTATTTTTTAAAAATTCTAATAAAAACCTTTCCGAGATTACAATTATTTTCATAAATATTAAAATTTTTCAAAGGAATTCAATTATTTTGAAAAAATCTAATAACATTCTTCGTAAAAAATCAATTATCTTCATAAAACGTCAATTATTTTGAAGATTTCAATTATTTTCTTAATTATCAAAATTCTTAGCGGGATTTTAATTATTTTCAAAAATTTTAATGAAATTCTTCGCGAGAATTCAATTATTTTCATAAAAAAAATAAAATCCTTCGTAAGAATTCAATTATTTTCAAAAATTTGAAACAAATTCATGTCAAGAATAATCTTTTTGATGTAAAATTCATCACAAACATAAAATTATTTTTTATTAATAATAAAATTCTCTTGAAAAAATCTAATATTCCATTATAATTATTAACAGACACGATTAATTAAAAAAGTTTATTAAAATTAAGTTAATTAAAATTACTCAAAAAAGAACATTATTTAAAAAAATATTTAAAGAAATTCTTCAAAAGATCAAAAACTCTAATATAATTGTTTAAAAAGAGTTTAATTTTCAGTCACTGATATTAATAAAATTTTAATAGTAAAATTATTAATTACAATTATTAAGAAACACGATTATTTTAAAAACTTGAAGAAAATTGTTCATAAAATTTAATTACTTTCAAAAGTTTTAATTAAAATTATTAAAGAAACTCTATTATTAAAAAAAAAAAATTCAAAGAAATTCTTTAAAAGAATTTAATTATGATTTTTAAAAATTTTAATAAAATTTTTCGCAAGAATTTGATTATTTTCATAAATAATGAAATTTTTCGAAGGGATTCAATTATTCTCAAATTTTTTGTCAAAATTCTTTGTAAAAATTTGATGATTTTCAATAAAATAATTTTAAAATACAATAATTTTAAATATAAATTTAAATTTAAAAAAAATTGCATTATATTAAATGATTTGTAAATAATAAAGATTTCATAGTAGTTCCTTTAATAATTAAGTTATTTAAAATTCTTTTTACAAATTAATAATATTTTCATAGTTTATGGAAAAAACACCATAATTCAGATTCTTTTTACAAACTTTAGAATTTAAATCCTTTTTTTAGTACTTTTAATAAAATTTTTTGACTTTGCCTGATTTCCCTGAGCAATTTTATTTTCCCTTATTTTGGCAACCCCGTTTTTGTAATTGATAAAAGTAAAGTCTTACCCGAAAAATGAAAAATTTCAAAAATTGATGAAAAATTAAAAAATCTTCTTTGAATAAGCCAAAAATTTAATAATTGTTTTATAAATTAATTTTTTGTATCTAAATGACTTTAATTATACCTCTTTTACGTCGCTTGTTTGTTTTTTTTCCATCGGCCACGGAACTTTCTGCTTCATCGATATCACCATTTTCTATTAAAGGATCCTCCTCCGATAAATCTGATAAGTCTTCGTCTCCTTCACTTACTAATACTTCAGAAACAAATAACGCTTCTGGTATTTCTTCAACATCAGGTGAGTATTGAATGCTCACTGCAAAGTATTCCACTCTTCCCTGAGAACAGGAGTAAGCTGCATCACTTAGAAAATCCATCGGAGTGGCAAAATGATTGTTTCCGTCCAATAAGTCCCACAACCTTTCAATTTGAGCACTAAACTCCTTTTCAAGGACTGCTGGAACATGCATGGAATATTTCTTTCTAATATGATTCCTAATTGAATGATCATTAACAATCCTTAAGTGAAGTTTCGATAATTTCTCTGTAAAATATATATTGTTATATTAATTAAATATAAGTCAAAACAAAGAAACACTGATTATGAAATATTTATAATTTTGTTTTTAAGAAATTAATAAATTAAAAAGGTAAATTTTTTATTTTTATTGAAAAGTATAATATGTACCTGTAAACTGCCAAGGTGATGATGGATCGGTCTCTAATTTTGTGTTTAAAAAATTTTCATAATCAGCCAAGACTTTTGTGGTGCACTTAATTTTATTGTACACTGAAATTTTTCCTCTCGATAAATCTTCCAAATAGATTTTCTCATAATTTAGTAAGATTTGCTCGACTGCAACTAAAACCTCATGGCTTGCATTAGTTTTCAAATTCTCGTATGACGCAAGCATTAAATTTGAGGGTAGAAGTGGTATCACCACCAAACGTAGTAAAAAATGTTTGATATCATTTTCTCCCTCTTGAATCACATGATGTTCCGCATTATTTTTAATTATCAATTTGTAAATATCCTGTAAATTATATTAAGCGACTTACAAAGTGTTTTTTATATAAATAACAATAATACTCACAAAGCAAAAAAAAACTTTTTAAAAGTTGGAATTAACTAGACTATAACCTTTGCAATACAGTCAGGTCTCGCTAAGTGTCGTCACTGGGAATTTTTTGAGACCGTCTGTCTCAGTAAGTGTCAGTGGCCTAAGCCACGCCCCTTTAATAAAAGTGGCCATTTCATTGGTTTATGTTGCAAACCGGTTTGGGGAAGTCCATTTTTAGCATTGGAGAGGGTAAAAAAAAGTGGGAAAAGTGACACTTGTTGGGTCTTGAACGATGACACTTTGTGAGTCATGACACTTACTGAAAACGACACTTGGCGAGACCTGACTGTATTGAGTTTGTGAAGTTTATGAAACATGAATATTTTTCAATGCTTAGTCAACTTTTGCTTCAAACAATCAAAACAATTCACTATTTAAAAAATTAATTTAAGTTTCATAAGCTTCGTAACTAAACATTCTAAAGGTTTCAGTCAAAATTTCAAATGTTTAGAAAACTTTTAGTGTTGTTTAGGTATAATTACAATTCTTAGTACCTCCTGATAATTAAATAAATTTACATGATATTCCACTTCGGGAAAAATGGCCAACAAGCCTGAAAGGAAATTTTCATTTTTACTCGTTATAATGTTTTTGATGTTAATAGCTGGTATGACATTCTTTATCGTTTCGAATGCAAATTTGTATTCTTCTGAGGTTTCTCCCTCCATTATGACATATACACATGGAAAAACCTATAAAATATTTTTTATTGATTAAAATAACTATAATTAATTAAATTAAATATACAATTTCAAAGGATTGACATTGAAATTAAATTTTTTCTTCCTTAATTGCAAACTTTCTCTTTTAATAAATTTTTTTTTTTTAAATAATTTTAGACAAAGTTCTTTTGAGAATTTTCAAATCTATTTATTATTGTTTTTTAATTCAATTTTATAAAATTTCGATTATTCGGAAATTCTATGTATCCTGATGCAGTGAAAGAGACCTTTCGTCCAAAAAATTAATTTTAAGTTATTTTTTATTAAATTTAAGAATTTCCGAATAATAGAAATTTCGTAAAATGGAAAATACTTTAAAATTATTTATAAGAATTTGCAATGTATTTATTTTTGCAATTATTTAATTACAAAAAGAAACAATGTATGAATAATTGATTGTTTCTTAACATTGAATTCTTATAAAGCGATGAGTTCTATTTTTTATAAAAAATAATTAAATTTCTAAGAATTTAATATGTTTGTGTAGAATTTTATGAAATTTTGTTTACATAATTGAATTCTCTCTTTCGGGAAATTCTCTCTAAATCTGAATATGTGTACATTTACATATCGAGAGGATAATTTACAACTTAAAACACAAGAAATAAAAAATGAAATTTATTTCTTAAATGTAAATCAACTGATGTTACAAATTTGTTATAGTATGAAACGTTATGAAATTGATTTTAATTGTAGTCATCGTATCAGAATTAAACCGTGTACAAAATTTTTAAAAAATTTAACTGTCTGCAAATGATTTTTCTCTACAAGAATTAAAACCGAAATATTAAAAAAGATCTAGTTTGCCATTTAAATGGTTTAGAATTAAGCGATATTTGTAGACATTTTAATTTTTTTTATCAACCTCTTCTTACTAGACAATTAACTTTATAATATCTTATACGTTTTTTTTATGTAGAAATGGAAGAATTTTAAAAAACATAAACTATGTTATGATTTTGTTATTATAATTATAGAAATTTTTTATAATAAAAGAAATAATACTTACGTGTAGTGTGTATTCTCTATTTTTAAAAGAGTCATCATTTGTGTAGACCAAACCGCTGAAGGAATACATTTCTTTGAAAAATGGACATAGAAATTTCCATCGCTTGACAAAATTTCCATAAAGTGTTCATCAAAAATTAATGCACAAAAATATTCGAATTCTGTGCAATAATGATACTTTAAAATTGCATTTTCCGCGCCCAAAAGTCGTTTATATTTGTCCAAATTTATTTTTTCACAGAAAGATTTAATGCTATGGACTTCTTCAGGCACAGCAGCTTTTCTTTTCCTGGACATCGTTCGTTGAACTTTAGCAAGTGGTACACCAACTGTGGCATTTGGATGGCTGAAAATAAAGAGTGTTTTTTGTATTTATGTATTTTTATACATAAAATTGCTAGTTTTAGCCGGCTTAAATAAATAAACTTTTAATTGATAATAATTGAATATCAAATATAAGAATAGTATTGAAAAATATAAATTAATACTTACAGCAAGCTAATATCATTATAAATTTTTCGGATTGATGATAACTGCGTTTCAGCGCTTCTGATGAGTTCTTCCTTAAATGCTGTTTCACTTTCAATCCTTACATTTGGTAAGTGACGATGTTTTTTTGTGAGCTTAAATGGTTCGTGTTTTGGAATTTTGCCACGTCCGGGGCATTTGTCCTTTCTATAATATCAACAGCGCAGATATCTAAAATATAGATTAAATATTACCATATTATAAATAACAATAATTAAAAATTAAATCTTTACGGAAATTCAATGATTTTCAAAACAATTTTATATGAATTCCTCGGAAGAATTTAATTTTTTAAAAAAAATTTAACACATTTCGAAAAAACTCTATTTTTTTCTAAAATTTTAATAAATCCTACGAAAAAAATTAATTATTTTTATAAATAGTAAAATCCTTTGCAGGAATTTAATTATTTTCAAAACAATTTTAATTGAATTCCTCGGATTAATTCAAATATTTCTAAATATTTCCACAAATTTCAATTATGTCCTGAAATTTTAATAAATTCTTTTAAATAATTCAACTATTTTTAAAAATAGTAAAATTCTTCACAAGGATTGAATTATTTTCAATTCACTTTTAATAAAATTCTTCTTCATAAAATTCAATTGCTTTCAAAATTGTCAATTAAAATTATTAAAGAAACTTTAATAGTTTAAAAAAAATTCAAAGAAATTCTGCAAAAGAATTTAATTAGGATTTTTAAAAATTAATAAAATTCTTTGTGAGAATTCAGTTATTTTCCTAAATAATAAAATTCTTTGAAGGAATTCTATTATTATCACATTTTTTTAAAATTCTTTGTAAGAATTTTTTGATCTTTTGAAGAATTTCTTTGAATGATTTTTTAAATAATGTTGTTTTTTGAGTAATTTTAATTAACTTAATTTTAATAAACTTTTTAAATTAATCGTGTCTGTTAATAATTATAATGGAATATTAGATTTTTTTAAGAGAATTTTATTATTAATAAAAAATAATTTTATGTTTGTGATGAATTTTACATCAAAAAGATTATTCTTGACAAGAATTTGTTTCAAATTTTTTAAAATAATTGAATTCTTACGAAGGAATTTATTGTTTTTATGAAAATAATTGAATTCTCGCGAAGAATTTCATTAAAATTTTTGAAAATAATTAAAATCCCGCTAAGAATTTTGATAATTAAGAAAATAATTGAAATCTTCAAAATAATTGACGTTTTATGAAGATAATTGATTTTTTACGAAGAATGTTATTAGATTTTTTCAAAATAATTGAATTCCTTTGAAAAATTTTATTATTTATGAAAATAATTGTAATCTCGGAAAGGTTTTTATTAGAATTTTTAAAAAATAATGTGATTATTTTAATAAAAATTTAGATTCTTTGGAGGAATTTAATAAAGATTGTATTGAAAATAATTGAATTTTTAGGAAGAATTTTATTAAAATTTTAGAAAATAATTGAATTTTTGCAAAATAATTTACTATTTATAAACATAATTGCATTCTTTCAAAGAATCTTATTATTTATAAAAAAAATAATCCAATTCTTACAAAGAATCATATTAAAATTTTTGAAAATATTTTAAATATTATAAATATAAACAAATTAATTATCTACTTAATAAGTGAATTTTACAAATTTTTGATTATAAAATTATTCAAAAATTCATATTTGAAAGTAAAAAATTTTGTAATTTGAACAATAACAATAAATTGAATGCCACATTTCGCGCGCTGGCGCGCGTAATATTTCATATTATTTAAAAAAAATTAACGCTATTCTTCGAAAGAATTAAATTATTTTCATAATTACAATTAGAGACCCCATTATCCGGATTTTCAATTATCTGGGCAAATTTTAAATATTTTTTTGTTTTTAATGATAAAGTTTATAACAATTTAATACCAGAAGCTTTGAATTTTTTAACAATAAACGTTGCTGTATCCATAAGTCCGCATAATGTGGTCTTTATTGTAAATAAAATTCTTCGCAAACTCTCTAAAACTAAATCAGTGAAATTTGACTGATTTTCAGTGGAATTTCACTGATTCAGATTTAAAAAGAAAATTTTAGTTTTTTTTTAAAAATTGGGATAAAATTCATGGCAAATTTCAATTATTTTCAAAAAATGTTTTTTAATACATACAATGATTTTTAATACATGAACTATTTTAATAAATTTTTCCTCAAGGAATTCAATAATAAAAAAATTTATTTATAAAATTTTTTACAAAAATAAAATTTTAATAAACATTCAATTACCCAAGGAGCATGTTATATGACCTTTAATTAAAGGCAACATTAGATTAGATATTTGGAATACTTCAGGGGAATCTAAAGAAATATTCACGGTAAATCGTTAGGTGTTAAAATAACACCAAAATGGATTAAAATAACACTAAATTCGATTATTTTAATCCTTTTTGGTGTTATTTTAATACCTAACGATTTACTGTGTTGCCTTCATTTTAAGGTAATATTACATATATACTGTTTGGGTATTTAATAAATTTATGTTTATTTTTGTATACAAATAATTGAATTCTTCTAGAATTTTTAATTAAAAATTAATTTCTGTTAAAGTTTTAAACAATAATAATTGAATTTTTTATAAGTTACAATAATTGAACTGAAATGACGAAAATAATTTTGAAAAAGTTACAGTACAACAATGTTTTCATAATTTATTAAATTTTAAAAGGTTTGAATTGGAAATTTTTTAAAATCTTAATTCCTATGGAAAAATAATTAATAGTAATTATTTACCTTTTTTTCTTTATAGATTTCATCCCGCGATGCTGCACCTGGAAATCTGCCTTACCAACTTATTGCTTAAATACATGTGGTCATGTATCACTTTGTGATAATTGTTGGGAATATTAGGGGAATGTGGTCTTATGTCGGCACTGTGGGTAAAGTCGGCACCCCCCTTTTTTGCAAAGATGGTTCACATGTCGATTCGAAAATTTTGTGATTTTACATGTTAATAGACACGGACATAATTTATGCACAAAATTTCTATTCTTGTTTAATCTACTCATCGTGAGCACGTTTTTATTTTTTTCCACAAACTGAATATCATTTTCCTCCTTTACACGGAAGTAGCTGCAGATAAGTAAATATTTTGGAAATTTCAAATAAATGATTGTTCTGGTTTCTTCATTTAAGGACGCTGCACGGTGGGAAATATTTAAAAGTACGCATAGGCGTAGCGAGCGATTTCTCCTCAACTTCCACTCTTTTCCCCTTTTTTCGTCCCTCTTGGTGAAATTTTTTGAATTTGATAATTAATTAAAAAAAATCCAGATTGAAAATGAAAAAAGGGCGATTTAGGAAAAAATAATATTTAATAGAGAATATTCAACAAGTTTTCTTATGACGATTAGATGTTTCTATGGGCGTGAATATCAATCCGCGTTTTCCAAAACATAGCAAACTGACAGCTCAATATGGGAGGTTAGCCATGGCCGACTATATCAGGTTGCACCGTTTGCGTAGTACAGTAGAAATGAACGTGAGGAACAAAAATATTAAATGTCAATTATACTCTCATTGTTTACTATTACATTTATTATTTGTTTATTTATTTATTATTGTTATTATATCTATTATTATTTATTATTTTACTTACTTTTTTAAAATATTATTATGGAAAAGTATTAAAACAATAAAGGAAAATTTTTTATGAAAAAATTATTAAACAAATAAAATTTCTAAACAAAAAAAAAGTAAATAATAAAAAATTATGAAATGTATAATTTTAAAAATTTTTTATTGTTATTTTTATTATTGATATTTTTAAGTATATGAAAAATCTAATTTAAATATTCCACAAAATTAGTTTTAAAGTAATTTTTTATAAGGAATTCAACGGTCATAAAATAAAAGCGGACAGAAAATATTTTGACCCTTTTTCAATTATCATTTTTCTTAAAAATTGGTGGATTTCGAAACACACGCGTAATTTGGTAGAAAATATGTTTTTAAATCCATGAAAAGAATTCCAAATGAAATCGATGATTTTCATAATTACCTATAGAAGTATTGTTTTGAAAAAAATCTTTGTTTTTAAACTGAAAATTCTAAAAATAATATTGTTATTCAATTTTTCTATATGGAAAATTATTTGTTTACTTATTTAATTTCTGATCAAAATTTAATCTTAATTTTTCTGTATTTCTATTTTTCATCAATAAAAATTATGATATGAAATTATTTAGAAAAATAAATGTCAAAAAATGCCCTTTTTTAATAAAAAAAAAGCTGCAATGTATTGAAAAAAGACGAAAATTTAATAATCTACTTCAAAAATTGTTAGAAAAAAATTGCAAACATCAACGTCGTTTTCTCAAGACAAAAATGGTTTTCATAATTAGAAATAAATTCTGAGTACCTCCGTGTTTCAGAAAAAGGACTTTTTTCATAAAAAAGATCCAATTTTATGACAAAAATTATGTTTAATAATATTTTCATAAAAAATTTACATTACTTTGTTTTATACTTTTCCATTATAATATTTCTAAAAAGTAAGAATAATAATAAATAATAATAGATAAATAAACAAATAAATATAATTATTTATATAATATTAAATAATAAAAGTAATGACTTATTATTTTTGTTGATCATCTAC